TGCTCACAGATTTAAGGAGACTATTCACAGAAGCACATACTCCATTAGTTTAACCCCAGGAATTACTACACAAAGTTTCTTTTGATCAGAATGTAAGGTTTGGTTAACGTAAACGAATCAAAAAAACCTTATAGGTCTGATCTTCAGAAAATTGAGTGCTATCTGACTGATAGTGCAGTTCTTCAGAGTGCTGCAGAATGTAGTCTTGTGATCCGTGCAGTTGCTCTGCCACGTAAATAATCCTACTAGTGTTGTGCCGTCATTGTTTGTGTCATATGCTCCTAACACAAGACAAAAAACTGTCCAGAGCATCATAAAAAATGCAGAAGTCTGTAAAGCGATCTAGAATTCGATGATTGGTATTGAGTTTTTTCAAGTGCATTATGATGGACATTGACCATCAAGGTACAGATACATACACAGTCAGCAATGCTGATCTACTCATTGTTCAGAAAACTAGTGACCTGGGAGTCATTGTCAGTCAGGGATTAGAAACCACAGAATTATCGTATGATGGCTGATAAAAGTTTTCAGATGTATTCGAACGCCAAGTATCTACAAATCATCAAGACATCAAAGAAGGTTTAAAGAGCCGTAACTAAATTGATTTCTGGAATCTTTGAGTCTCTTTATGATGGGAGTTGAGATAAACTGAATATATTCCCGAACGTCAAATAGAAAGAACACAGGTAACCTAACAATACTCTTCAAACTGCCTAATAATAGGTTTACATCTGACAAGCTCCCCTTTTTCTTATTTCCCAGAACAGAAGACTAGTGACGAAACGTCAAAATGTTCACAACATCAAAATCAGTCACTCATAAATTGGCTACCGACTTTCTCAGTAAATCACTAACCATTGGGATACAAGTGGTTAAGGCTATCTGATGATGGATTAAAAAGGTAAATCACATTGAGGATCCAAATCAAGAGGAGGAAAACAAGCTATCTAGCCACCTATCATTCTTGGTTTGCAGATGGATTTGAAAATCGCAGAGAACAGTCAATAATTCCCTCTTCACTGAAAAGTAGCATTTCAAAGAGCAAATACAGACCCAATTATTCCGATCGAAAGTTTCCTATATCTAATGCTGTCAACAAGTAATGTTCTTCTAAGTAATATGGAAGCCTATTGTTCTATGAAACCACATTACACAGGGATAAAACTCATTTACTCAAAATTTCTGAAAATGCAAATTCACCAAAACAATTCACTTTTGAAAGCTGTTGCAATCAGGTTGCTATATCATCGAAAAGACCAGGAGCTGTATCTAAAAAGTTGGAAACAAAGGTATAAAACTATCTGGATTACACTAGATCATAATAAAAATATCAGATATTAGACATTGGAGATTGGTCTCAAGTGTAGCGGCCGTTACAGAATGTAGATGTACTCCGTCATTCGTATTCGTTATGTTGTCTCATGACATCTGGTATGTTTCATAGGTGTCTATGGCGAATAGTTATGTTTATTGTTCTGATTAATAACTCACACCAGGAAAGACATTTCGGCAACCATTCTTGGCCTATCAGTTCTTTAGGTGGTGGCTAGATGAGTTTGTGATGTTAAGCAGCTCGACAAAGAAATACTTCTGGAATCGTCTTTTAGTTCAGTTAAAAATAGTGCTCGACGTTTTTTTGTCTTCCTACCAGCTCTATACTATCTACGTGTGATTATCCAAATCAAAAGGTACATACCACTTTAAGCTCTCATTTTTCGGATGGAAGTACTATTTCTTCACGTTTTTTATTCGTACAGTTTTCGTTCCGTTGTACTCATCAAGTGTTACTCTGTATGCCGTTGGTTAAAGTTGATCTATTTTTGGTCTTTTTTCAGGAGGATTTGACTTTTCGTCTTTCTACTGAAGGGTTTTCTCTTTCATTTTTTGGTTGGCTTTACATATAGGTTCTCATATTTATAGCGTTGAAGATCCTTCCATAGTAATTGTTGTTGTAGGATAACATGAAACTTCCAGGTATGGGATGCAATGCGATAACTTCGATAGGTGGTTCCACTAAACACGTATTAGATAAATTCCTGCTACCTGCAAACTGTTATAGGCCACTATTTTGATAGCTGTCCAAAATACGTTGTTCCACAAAATCTATTTAAAATGCTGTCAAAACAGTGGCTTCTTGATGATAAGGTAATGTCTCCAGAGGGCCTCTTGTTTGTCTGCTGTAAGCTTCTAGGCCTGATAACACCCTTTATTGTGGGTTCGTCTCTTTTTAACAATAGGCGGCGGACCTGCATCTCGGGACAACTTTGTTGCGTTTCTTCCCCTCATGACATGTGATTTTGCGAGGAGATCCTGAAAAACTTTAATATCAATTGCCAGTTCAAGATATCTAATCCTAGTTAGCTTATCATTCCCAACAGTAAAATGACTAACCTAAGTCTTCGTGGCTGTGTGTTACACAATACTTTCTGCTCATGTGTTTACAGATGCGTAAACTACCAACTTAAATTTAAGTCTCCAACTTCTGTATTCACAGATCCAAAATAATGTGACTAAAGTCCTACAAAAATTATTTTTGCGCTTGTCTTTTTGTGTATTAGTTATAAGTATGTTTTGATGACGAAATTTAGTATTTACCTGTGTTCTTGATAAGTTTACTGAAACTTGTAAAAATATTCTGCTCTCTGATAAAAACCGTTAAGTTATTATTACTAACCGCCCTGGAACTTAAGTGATGAAAATTATTTCATCGTAAACTGGTCACTGAGTATTTCCGTTGTAAAAACGCTAAGAGTAAATATAAGGAAATGAAGCATATCTTAAGTAGGTTTGGTATAATATGGTTCTTAAACTTGAGTTTCACCCTACCCACCTTAAATTGTAGTGTTATATAGTGACAGTCGTACTACTTACAAACAAAATTTGCAATTCATAGTCGAGTACTTTTTCCTTGAGATTAAATATAAACCAAATCTCTGAATACGCGAAAAGAAATAGAAGTTTAAAACGGAAGTTGAGTGCTTAGAAAAATAAACTATTGCTTCAGATTGAGTAAAAAATTGATTTCAAAACAGTAAGTCCTGTGCTATCTATTTCGCCTAGTGACAAACATCTTTATTTATTTATTTTAACACAAAGATATTGGTACAAGAAGGCACCAAATACATATGCGCCACACAATTCTCATTTGATATGTGTAAGGGCTGTGATACTGCCCGGGTGCCCAGACCGAAGCAGGCGGTTTTCTTAGGGGGCCACACCCGGAGCCATCGACCCGCAGGTCTGATCCACAAGGCAGTGGAGCAACGTAAAGAGATGCCGTCCCATGGTAGCCGGTGACCGACGGTTGTTTCATACGCCATTTGTTCCCTCAGGATAATAGATCCCATGTGCACCATTGGTCTGGAATCAGGGTTTTCCGATTCCCCTATGTGAACTCTCCGTATCCACCAACCCGGTTAAAGCGCCGGACATTCGCTTTTTGTCCTCTCAATTCCGTAAACAACACCGTCACCACGTGAAGGCAGTGAGTAGGACTTCCCTGGTAGAGGCTATATACGCGTGGCCATGTGAGAGCATTTCAAGAGGAAAAGCGAACTCTCCCCACTCTCGACGTACCAGGGCATTTGAGGGTGGTAAACATTTACTAATATAACAATATTCTGTAATTTACATGCTTTTGTTAATTGGGACGTAATCAATACACCATTACGTACATCTAAATATACACTTCCCTACCACTTCAGTTGAAGGCTAATACTATTGTGTATTATCCAAGGTTTTTCTGAAGACTGAAGTTTCTTGTTTTTTGTCATCTTAAGAAATTTAAGAAAATGATGAGATATCTTATTCGTTCGGTATTTGGACGTACTTGCTTATAAAAACTTGCTGTTGTTTTGAAGCGTTTTTCACGTCCATTCATCTTAAAAACTAACTAATGAGGTATTCATACATAAGCAAAGTTTGGAGAAAATTTGTATTAAAAATATTACCAGGTATATCTAGGTTTATTTTTTTCGATTCCTCCGGTTACTACCATTATCCTATAGTAAAAAACCAGTGGTCATTTAATTTATAGTAGTTGTTGGTTAAGAAATCATTAAATTTTCATATTAGACATAAATTCAAGATGAAATAAATTTTAAAATATCAGATATCGAACTATTCCGTCTGCTTTTTATGTTCCTCTGTATGTATCTATAGTTCTCAAAAGTTTAAATCGGGTGAACATTAACGGTCAGTCATAAGGTAGATCGTGGCACAAATTCAACAAAAATATAGGAGTTAAAGTAATGGTAGCACTATTGATGATGAGAAAGACTAAACATTGGAGAATGCGGTTTGAAACAAAAAAGTTATTTTAAGGAACAAAATAATATTGGAGCCCAGAAAAACTAAGGGAAAACTAAAAGCGAATACATTTTCACTGCTATGACCAATTTTAAGCTATGTTATCTAACATCCGCAACAACTGATTGCAGTCATTTCATGGACTCCAACTGGCTTATTGGTGTCGACCAAACAACTCAGTTCAACAATCAGTGTCATTAGCAGTCAACTTGCAACCACTGGATCGCATGTCAGTTTGAACAGACATGTACTGCTGTCAACTCATACAAAACATGCTACTCTAAGTGTACATGAACTTGTACTTCATTATCAAGTTACCTTACAAATTTAATTAGAAGTCGCCTTTAAAAGTTAATTCAGGTTCTTCGATGAGAACTTTAAACTATGGATTACTCCATGGTTAGTTTTATATTGAATACATAAATGATCGTAAACTTACAGTGTGCGTTGAATTTAATAATTGTCGCAGAAGTGAACTAACTCATCAGTAATTAATACGTTCGTTAACGAATAACAAGTATTGTATAGTTATGGGTTCTATCATTCTTTTTGCATAATTATGAGTTTATTTCCCATTAAACGATATGAATAATATTTTGTGTTTGTGTTTACTGGAACTTATTAGATTCCCTATCTTTTTGATTTTCAATCATTTTAGCCCGTAATTTTCAGAACAGTAAAGTTTAACAATGACCAAGTCAGATGCTTTAGAATCTGCGAAACAGATAGCTTGTAACTCAGCTATTTCTGATTGGCTTAAAGTGGTTAACATTAACTTTCTTAAAAAATTTTATCTACCAATATTTTGTTATTAGGATAATCAGATTATTGGACTTGGAAGTGGCACAACAATCAAATACGCTGTTGAGTATATTGGTAATTTTGATCAAATATAAATTAATCTGAAATTGCTCTATTTTTTAGCTGACAAAGTGAAAAAAGAAAACCTGCAGATTCAGTGTATACCAACTTCATTTCAGGTATGCCATTAATACATGGGATTTACACGTTTGTATCTTAATAATTTTCTGGTTCTATTTCGGTCTCGGTAAGTTGTTAACTAATATATGGTCGTTCGGAATTTGTTCGATTCGATATTATATAGTAACATATTAAAAACCAAGGCAATGAATAGTTGAACCTCGAGTCTATAAAAAATACTGAATACATAAGTCATTGTTTTAAACTCTTAGGGATCGAATTCAGATTACTGAGGTGCAGACACATCCAGCTAACATGTCTCAAATGAGATGAGGTGCGCGTCCTAGATTTTACTGTTAGCTGCAATCCATTCATTCTAAATACGATTCATAAGGTTTATGTTTTTCAAAGCATATGATTATATGATAAAACTATTCATTATCATATTTGAAAAATCAGTTGTCTTTTACAGGCCAGACAACTTCTGATCAACCATAAATTGCCAGTGACAGACCTTGATGTATGTGAACAGGTAAAATATCTTGTTTCATTTATATCTAGCTTCTTTATTCAAAAAATTAGATTGATGTAACTTTTGACGGGGCAGATGAAGTAGATGAACATCTTCATTTAATCAAAGGCGGCGGTGGCTGTTTACTCCAGGAAAAAATTGTCGCTTCTTGTACTAAAGATTTTATAGCTATTGTCGATGAACGGCAAGTTTACCTACTTAATATATATGCTCTAACTTAAATTATAAGTCGTTGAGTTTTCCGTCTGAATTATCGATATATATATATATATATATATAGTGGGCTCGTAGACAAGTACTGCTAGGGCGTCCCATACTAGAACGGGGCAGTTGTCTAGTGCTTCGTGATTTTCGATAGTTGTCCAGCTAAGTTCAGTTGTAGTTGTGGAGATTTTTTAATTCTATTGAGGTCACCAACCGATGTACGTTAGACAACCATTAAAAACCTAGAGGCGCAGAATGACCGTTCGGTCCTAATGCCTACCCACGACCCTGGGGTTGGGGATCGAACCCAGCATCAGTCTCTCACGTGGATGCTTAACCTGTGGACAACTGAGCTGGGATCCAATGATATACAAGTTCTTAACCTTAAACATAATATTCTGAAATATTTGATCGGATCTTGTCGATATTAAGTTTGTGGAAATTCAGTTTACAATGTTTATCTTCAGGCAATTAATATTTCAGAGGGATGTAAATAATAATTATTTCTTTTTCTTATATATTACAACTTTTGTGGATAATGTAGGAAACACTCAAAGAGACTAGGTTCATATTGGACTAAAGGCTTACCAATCGAGGTAGTTCCAATGGCTTTCAAACCGGTACAAACAAGAATACAGAAATTATTTGGTGGACAAGCGATTCTACGAGAAGCTGTTTCAAAAATGGTAAGTGTTTGTTTCTTTAGTCAGTTAGTCAAGTTACTCACCATCGGTGCTGATTTAGTTGGATCCCTTAGGTTTTCAAAAGACTAGGTTTCTTTGTTGTTTTTTTTGCGCGGTTTTGCAACAGTAACAATTAAGTATAATAATCAATGTTTATAACGTAACAAGTCAGTCTTCAACTATCGTGTAATGGTTATTACCATCGACATCAGATGATCAGCCCACCGTATTATAAGTTGATTGAAACTCAAATTGTATCATGGGACAACGGTTCGGTGGTCCTAATGGTTAAGTATTTACTTACAACCCTGGAGATCCTAGGTTCGAGCCCTAGTGGAGTCGTGAGTGTTGAAGAGTCCCATGATGAGATAAAGAAGATGTCTAGCAATTCCTTCTAAGTGATGGCGCGATTAGGATCAGTCTGTGATGAATCTAACCAATCTCCATAAAAACTTTTCAACCCAAACTATTTTAGAACTATTCTATGTTGAGCTTAGTTTTCATTACAGACTGATATTAGTTAAAGGAATATTGGAACTTTAAGAATTTATGAACAGCTGCATATCCCAGGTTCCGGATTCGTTAAAAATACCATAAACCTGACACTGGGTTATCAAATATGTTAATGGCTATAAAATCTTAGACCACTAAGTTTGAATCCATTGTGTTAAGATGGGAACAATAAGTTTCAATTCAGTGTGGTATTTATTCAGGATAAAACAGTATTCTCTGTATTAATTTCAAGCATAACATTCTAATTATCTTTAATTATGTATAACAGTAAAATCCATTTATAAATGAGTATATCACTATTTCTCATTTGAACTTCGAAAAAGTCCTTTTTGAAGTTAGTCGTTAATATAGGCACCTGATTATTATTGATCATTTTAGCTGTGTAGAATGTATCAGAGTATATCGAATTAAGGTGTTTATATTTCAATTCACTTACTGAATGTAATCAAAAGCTTTCATTTTAATTACTACCTACTAGCTACTACGTATCGGATTCGAACCTCACTCCATCTACTTCGGTTTGAATAACCAGTATTATTAAACATCACACTTAGAGTGTGATGAATAAATTTATTTAATATATTGTTATTCGGTAAATAAAGAAGGAACGAATTGAGCGAAGAAATTTATTTTCAATTAGTTTTTCATCATCCTCTTCTAATTACTCAATCTTAATTTAAATGTCACTATGTAATTGTTACGTAACGTATCCACTGGATGAGTATTATATCATTATTGCAAATCATATATATACATATATATACATATATATATATATATATGTATATATATATATATATATATATATATATATATATATATGAATGCAAAGGTTAGGTTTGTGAACATGGATTGCGATGGCTTCCGCAATGTGCAAAAGGTACACTCGTAAAACATGTGACAAATTTGATGGGACATGGTAGATAACCTTAAAAGCTTTATTCAATTCAACTTGATGACCTGTGTCAACCAAGTGAGAGAGAGAGATAATAGAACTTTTAATCACTTTTACCTGTTCTTTGCTTAACCACGATGGATGATGCTCTGTAATATGATGACGAACTTGCCGAATTGTACGCCCTATATAACTGGCTCTACAGGAGAGGCTGAACCGATAGATACACATGGATTTGGCGAATTCAGGCAGTCTGTCTTTATTGGTAATTCTTATTTTGGGGTGGTTGTATAAGATAGCATTTAATCTGGCTGCATTAAATGGTTTTTGTACAGCTCTTCTTAGTTTCTAAGTCACGATTTCTTCAGTGGTGTTGTTTATGAATTGTAATTTTATGGACAGTACTTTCTAGGGACGGTAGGTATCATAACTTACTTAGTATGAATAGGTACCCTATGAAATTCATCGACAAGCACATGATGGAGAAGAAAACAAGGGCAAATGATTAATCGTTTTACCTAGCTATTTTAAAGAAATTTATTTTTGTATGCATATATTTCAAAATATTTTAATTTATTTTATATTCTTGTATTCTCCTTTCATTAAATAATTATGACAGGGTCCAGTTGTAACAGATAATGGAAACTTTTTATTAGACTGGAAATTCGACACAAATAAACAATATTATTGGCCAGATGTAAATGTTCAACTGTCACAAATACCTGGTAAAATTTGTTTTATAATTTAATTTTTACTTAGTTTGTCATTTTAGTAAAGTGAACTGCTCATTCCGTTATCATATATTTTCATTATATAAGTTGATTCTGCTCGATTGGCTTTAAACCGCACTTTATATGTGAGGGTTGTGTTGCTACCCAGCTGTAGAAACTACAGTATCAAGTGAGATGGGACTCGAAACGTGTGATAGGATGTCGAAAGAAATCTTGGCTAAATTCTGATCAGTTTTATTATATGTGTATGCCTTGCGGAATGCCCCTATATAGTCATTTTTCTCAAGTTACTGTAAAACAGATGAATTTGTGAATAACAGTGAAATTCAAAACATGCACGAGATGCATATATGCCAACAAAGACTGATCAGAATTAAGTCAACAGTATCAACGAGATAATTTTAATGTTTCTAAACAATGACTGAAATAAAATATCTGTTGCATAAGTGGGTGGGACTCAGGTAGCCCAGTGGAGCAAAAGGTACTAGGTTCGAATCCCAGTGTGAACTTCAGTAACGAAGTGCGGGTAAATCCAGTTGTCGAGTCTCGACTAGGACGAAATGCGTGCTGGATTTTACAGTTAACCACAATTCTGTCTATTTTAAATAATAAACCGGTTAATTATGATGAATCTTCACTCTTTGGCTACAGCTTAGGATCAACCATATTTTGATGAAGTTTCGTTCTCTGAACTGAATTATTTGGTCGTGGAGCACTCAGGTCAATCGGCAATCAACAAACACATTGAAATCGATCTAATTTGTCAACCAATCAGAAAAATCAGGGACAAACATAGTGTGGTGTGTGCTACTTATACTGACATAAGTAGTATATGATGTTAGTCGTGAACAGAAGGTCTGGCAGCAGAGAGACAAGAGGATCGGACAGTAAATAATGGAAACAGAATGTAATTTGTATGAAAATGCAAGAACAATGAAGTCTGAGTCATTATGAGACAATTGATGGACATTTTGCAAATTAAGCATTTAGTTTATGATTGTTAGCTTTTATTAACAACTCCTGTAATTTTGTGTTAAACACATTCGATTGTCCCCACTGGTGTTTACCAAAGATCAAACCAATGAATGATAAAATCAAAACAATGTAAACAATGACAGGTTTAAAGTCAACCAGAACCAATCAACATTGAAGTCTACAGGACAAGCTGTGAGCTATATGTGGAGAAATTCGAACACTTCACTTCTACTTGATGATGTTCAGAAGAACGATGAAAGCTCTACGACCAAACCATTCAGCTCAGAGAACAAAGCTCTATCAAAATCATCCACCTGAGCTACAAATCTTCTCCACCATCTCATTATCAACCATAGCTGGCGCCTTTTCATGTTAAATAGAGTAAAGGATTTTCATTGGTGAATTCCACAATGACCGATCCCCATCTATTTTTGATTTGAACATGCTACTTTTTCATTGTCATGTTAATATCCTTATCTTTTCTGATTACCTTACTGTCCAATGATTTCTGTCTTGAATCATGCACCTAGTTCACCATAGGTGCCGTAAGTTGGCAAAAGCTAAGCGAGCTTTCTGAATCCGTGCTGAGATTTCGTCAGACACCAACCCATTAGGGCTGATCAGACTTCCAAGATAAGTGAAGTTGTCAACGCGTTCGACTACTTCACTCCCTATCCTTAGTTCAGGTGTTGACGCAGACCAGTCATGAAGTAGCAGCTTGTATTTAGAGGGAGAGAAGTGCCGTGTAAGTAATAGTGAGGTTAGACGCAGGGTATTACGGAATGATGGTAAATCAGTTGATGAGGTTGTGAATCTTCATCGACTGAGATGGTTGGGCCATGTGTTACGTATGCCCGAACACCGATTACCACGACGTGCAATGCTGTCCGGTATTGGAGATGGTTGGAAGAAAGTTAGGGGCGGCCAAACCAAAACGTGGTATCAGTGCTTAAAGTCACTAACTTCTAGTCTGAGCCATGTTGGTAGATGCAGACTACTTGGTTGGGGTCCGCGTGACTATCGTAACCAATGGTTGGAGACTTGGTGACATGGCTCAGAATCGATCATAATGGCGTCGGTGTATACACTCTCTGTCTTCCCTTAAACTAAAAGATTAAAATCGCTTCATATCTTTCTTTCTACGAACTAATTCTTTCTTCCTGTGCTATATCCTTATTACAATGTTTCTTTTATATATTACCACTTCTGAATTAACTACTTTTATGAATCCGGTGTCCATCTTGTTGTATTAATGAGGTATGGCAACTTGGACCGATGCATATATATGCCTGGTCCTACGTTGTAACTGACTGATTGACCTAGTTCACTGGTCCAATGAAATTGAGTACTCTGCTTCATCTAGAATCAGGATTAACCACATCCACCGACATGTTCTTTTCAGATTACAACTTCACACATGTTCTTGAATATTGACAGATCAAATAATCACTTTATATTCAAGATAAATTTCAGTTAGTGAATATTTTAATTATTAACCTACCTATACACTATTACTAAAATACAGTTTATTATTCAATAGAATTTCATAAGTTAGAAAGAATCAAACGTTTTATGTTCATTAATTCCTTATTCATCAAATATCATTAATGTTTAACTACATTCCAATTTTATTATTATTATTATTAAGGTATTGTTGATACTGGCCTGTTTATCAATATGACAAGTAGAATTTATATTGGTAATTTGAATGGTACAGTGACTAAATTGGAAGGGAAATCATCTAATCAACATACGTTAAACAATATCAGTAATTTCTAATTGATTATATACCTACCTACCTACCTACCTATCTGCTATTGATTTACTTATCCTATTTTGCTCTACTTTCACTCAGGGTTTAAATTAATTATCATTATTATTTTGTTTTTGTATTGTTTTGTTGCTTTTTCATAAATACAAAGAAAAGTACTATCGTTGTATATTTTATTGTCATTCCACTTATAATATCTAGTTTCTATGTTACATAGTTCATAGTAATATCGACAAGAAACACTGATTGACCTAGGTCTCATGTTAGTTGACATTTGACAGACATGGCGTACTTGCTATCTTAAGGTTGGGGTTTCAGATCCGCATCATCCAGTTTAATTGTTTGAGATGTTATCACTGATCTATTCAAGTCAAGATTTATATAAATTTGCTTATATTATCATCAAGTTCACCGGAGAGAAACAAATAAAACAACATGGAAATATTCAAAGCAAATTGGTAATTATTACAATGATTCAAGATAATATGTTCATTACTTCTAAAATGTTAAAGATTATTGATAGCATTGAAATTTATGTTAACGAGATCTTTAATTCATGAATACTGTCATTCATAGTCTATTGATTGTTAAGTTTAGGAATCTTAGGGTTTTGTTCAATTTTCAATTAGCAATTCAAACTGAATTAATCAATCCTGTTGAATAAGAAAAAGAGAATTCAGCGAGGAAATTTTTCTTTTCGATGAAATCATTTACTTAAACTGTACATTCGTGTATATGTAGCTATATGGAAAATGTATGTCTATAGGAAGATAGAAAAAATTGCATCACAAAAATGGATTTGAAGATAAATAACAAATGAGGTTACGTACTAATCAAAGGGTAAGGAAGAAAATCGTTTATGGGTCAGATAATAGGTCCAATTGACAGATATAAAGAAGAAACGACAAACATAAATGGCATAATAATAATCATCAGGCAAACTTCTATGAGGTAATGATAATAACTGATTAGAGATTAAAATTGTAAAACAATAATTTTAAAAAATCAATAATAATCGAATAAGAGTGAAGAAGAAAGGAGAAAAACCTGAAACATAATGATAAAGGAAGGATGAGAGGTTAAACGAATCGTTTCTGATATTTCACAACCCGTTAAAAACCATATCAGTACATGCAACTCTCTTGTTTCCTTTGACTTGGTCGACTCAAATAGAAATATCAATATAAATGGTAGGAGAATGATCTCATTGGGTTTCACTTCTCTTTTTACAAATGTTCCCCTCACAGAAACTATATATTTTTTATGTGACTATATTGAAAACAGTAACCTTCATGTATATCCCAAAACATTATCTAAAAGAGTTACTTCTACGATGTACTCTCAATGTGCAATTAAGATTTAATGATGATGTCTATAAACAAACAGATGGAGTTACAATGGGTTCTCCATTGGGTCCCCTCTTGCCTGATTATTTCATGACCAATCTGGAAAGTACGGTACTTCAACCAATAATTGAGAGATTTCGTTTATACAAGTCATATATGGATGATACTTTCATTATTTGTGAAGAAGACATGAACCTCAATAATTGTCACCCCTCAATTCAATCCACCTTAGAAGCAGAGGCGAACGAGGAATTTCATTTTCTTGATTTCCGACTGGAAATAAGGCTGGATGGTTTTTTACAGGAGTATATATATAGGAAGCCAACCTGGAATTGGTAGTGCACGAATTTCCATAGTTGGGTCCCACCGAGTAAAAAGAGGGACGTAATTCACTCTTTATCCTCAAGGATCAGGCGAATATGTTCTACCTCGACACGCTATGTTTACTGATGTAGGAGGTTAAAAGCTAGAGAGACTGCTTCATCCTAATTCTAAGAGATACACAAACCCACATGGTGATGATTTCTCTATTGAATGAAGTCAGTTGATAATAATTATTATTCTCCAATTAGCCTGTTTGAATTCTTATGAAGTCGGTCTTAAATAAGAGATTCCATTGATTTCTGTTAAATTCTTGTCATCAAAACTTGTACGGTTTGTTTGTGAATTGTTAAGAAACTTATTGGAATTAATAGCCAATACCAATTTTAACTACAAGTCAACGTTAAAAAACTGACATTACATTGTATCGAGAAAAATATATCGAATAACTAAGTTATTTATTAGTAATTGGTTCTTTCCTCCAGACCATGGTTGCGTTTAAAAAGAAATAGATTGTAGTAGTGTCATGAAATACCATGTGATCAATTAGGTTTTACTGTATTACTGCCAACTGGTTGATTGGAGTTCGATTTTCTATAAAATTCTATCTAATATGTATGGTTAAGATTGGGACGACCAAACCCTGTGTTGGGATTTGTGTTTAGCCGGAGGGTACTTTGTGTATTAGTTGGGGTACGTAGACTAAACATGGATGGGGAGAGTTGAGAAAGAGAACGAAAGGAAATGTGGGTACGATGATCCAGAAGGCGCATAAATGCACTTACATTTAATAACAAAAGACGATCTGGAAACAGAAACTACATTCAGATAGTGTGAAGTTTCCAACGCACCACACCCTGGTACAAATAAATTAGTAATACATGTTAGAAAATGTCAGTATGATTCATATAAACAATTATATAAGGAGCTTCTTGAAGTTTGTCTAATAATCATTGGATATGCATTGAAAACGGTTACACAATGATACTCCGCTTTTTTCAAGTTATCATACTCATTTTCATTATGTTCCTTGATTTTTTCCGAATATCCTCATCCAGCTGTGTAGTATAGAAAGTAATATTATCTGCTTTTATTATCACAATGCTTTATGAACGTTTGTTTCCTTAGTTATTTATACATGTTTTCACCTAAATTCTCATTGTCATCCTATCACCGTTCAGAATAAATCTTGTTCACAATGAACCTATAGTAAATAATATCGGGAACGAATCGGTTATACCTTCTTTTTTTTAAACTTCTAGTCTTCCCATACTGTCTATTGTAGCTCATTTTCTAACCATAAAGAAGAAAATAATGATGAAAGAGTTTAATGACATGCTAATGTTCCAATGAATTTATTGTTTCATATATACCAACTATCAATTATTAACTTCCCATTTTGATTGAGAATGAGTATCGTAGAACCGACATTTTCTATCAAAATGTACACTAGAGGTAATGGCCTACATCAAATAATAAATCAAGCAGTTTCATTGAACCAATGATACATATCTACTTCTCTTCATAGGTAACTAATAAAGTATATACATAACGAGAATACAATTTTGGAAAGTATAGTATATTCAATAAAACATATTTTACACATGTAGTCTTGTTGTTGCTGTTTTTATTTGTAAAGTACTGGGAATTCATTCATTTGATGAAACAATAAACATATAAGAGTTTTCTATTTAATTATATTAATCTAGGTGAATAATATAGATGACGTTGTGCTGAACATTGAAAAACTAATTTATCTAATACAGATATAATTTGTAATAGACAAATTTGATTACGTTCATTCAATGTTAATTCTTTCATCAGTTGATTGTCAATTTGATTATTTTCTGAATATGAATCTATAGAGATAAAACAAAATATTTGATAATGAATAACATTACTAGTAATATAACTGAATTGTAAGTTGAATGGATAAGGATATAGGATATTTATATCAAGATACGCAATGAATCTTTATCAGTCATGACATGTGTTACTGGTGCTTAGCTACCGTCTTCTCCAATTGACAATGTATACTGATGTAAAAGTAGATAGAGGGTGGGAGACCTAAACTACGACTTAGTATAATGTGATGTTTGTGTGTAATAGTTTCGTGGTATATTATTCTATGCCTGATTCGAACTCCAAATATACTTACAAGTGGCTTCACTGATTTCTCTTTAGATTGGATAATCCTAGGAATTACTAGTTAGTATATAAATTCGACTGCTACACTACTTATCATACATCAGTTTATGAAGTCGTTGATCTAAACCATGTTAGTAAATCGAGACTACCACGTGATTAGTGTGAGCGTGTTAATCAATACCAGTGATTGGGGATGTTCAATAATATAGCTCGGAATTAATTTACAGTGGCGTAAATGTATTCACTTTTTGTCTCGAAATACTTATATATATATATATATATATATATATATATATATTATTGTACTAATTCATTATTTTTCTCAAATCATATTGTTTATGCCTAAAGTCTTGGTACTACTATTACTACTGATACAGTTACTATTTCTACTACTCTGAAATTTATATTTACTATTTATTTCGCTGTGTTGATATAATATAAGTGCTTCCAGGTTTCCAAAGGTGGTCTAACATCAGTCGGTTCATGATCTCAATCAAAAACGTAATAATCTCCACAACCCCTATACTAGTAATCAACATGTGCTCACTAGTGACTAGCTTCGTGAGGGAATTCTCGGAGTTCTAATGAGAAGCCGTGACCAGTGGAGCTAGTCCTTGTCGGGTAGAGACAGATATCTACCTCAGTACAATGGAAGTTGGTCGCGCAATTTCGTGGATTAGTTGATATTAGACACTATCACCATTGGATGCCGGCTCAGTGGTCCAGTAGGTTAAGCGTTCGTGCGCGAGACCGGAGGCCCTGGGTTCGAATCCCGCGAGCGGGATTGTAGATGCGCACTGCTGAGGAGTCCCACAATAGGACGAAACGGCCGTCCAGTGCTTCCAGGTTTCCAAAGGTTCATGATCTCAAGTTCTACTTTACTGATGATAGGATTACATTTTTTCAACTTATTAATCACTAACCCACGAAAAGTGTACGGCACGAAATTGAGTGCACGAACTTAAAAAAAACTACAGAATTTTAATAATTACATTAGACATATTATCAACTTCAAATCTAAAAAAAATAGGAAATCAATAGTTGCCAAGTTACAATTGAGAAAGATCTACAAGAAGAGGATGAATTAATTATTTGTACTTTCGATTGGGATGACTTAAGAAAAGCTAAACATAAAAAGAATACATTTTGACTAGTGAACAAAGCAATTATGAATGTAAATTAAAAATTACAGT